ATGTGGTGCTGGGGGATTGAACCGCGGTCCCTGATGCTTTTGCTAAGCTTGTTCTAAGTAGGTGCTTTAGACCACTGAGCCATCTCTCCAGCCCTTTCTGTGTGTTTTTAAACTTTATTTTGAGATAAGTATAGATTCATTTACCATTGCAAGAACTGCTACAGTGATGGCACATGCCTATAGTCTCATAATCTCATCATTCTGGAAGCCTAAATCTTAAATTTGACCCCAGCCCAGGCAATTTAGCAACTTAGACCATGTCTAAAAATGAAGTAATAGGGTTGGAGGTATAGCTCAGTGTGAAGGTCCTGGATTCAATCCTTAGTAATAGCAGAGAGAAAGAGAAAAAGCCCATAAATTTGTATTTTATACTTCATGCTTTTAAAAACAGTACAATTAAAAAACAACAACAGCACAATTAATCTCTTTATTTTCTCCCTCTACCCCTCCTGTCTCTTTCTCCCCCCTTCCCTATCTATAACTGTAAAGTGTAAATAAATAGGAACCAGCAGCATATCCTTTGTGTACCTGGATAAGATGAAATAACATTTTTCTATTTTGTTTTCTCAGTCTGCATTGGCATTGAGTTTGAACAAATAATGTTTTTCATGGGAAGGAATTTTTTCTACTGTCTACCTGTTACTATTTTTTATTCCCAGTCTGTTTGATATATTGAGGAATGAAGCCCGGGTCATGGAGGGTCTTCATAGACTGGGAATTGAAGGCCTTTCTCTGCATAATATTTTGAAGCTGAACATCCAGCCCTCTGAGACTGACTATGCGGTTGACATCAGGAGTACAGCTATTTCAGTGAGTATTTTTGAGGGGTGGTCACTGGGCATTCTCACCAGACATCTTTATTGTAGCTCTCTAATTTGTGTTTTATGAGAGTTAAGGTATTCCCAACATCTCTTTCATTGTCATCAAAGATTCATAACTGCTGTTGTGGAACTGTTATGGTTTGTATCTAGTTGTCCCACCAAAGTCTCATACAATCATGGGGCAGCTTCTAGTTTATGATTAACTCATGATCCAATGCTGGGATTATGAAAGTGAGTGCTCCACCCACCCTGGAGCAGGTAGTCCGAATACAGTGTAAGGAAGGGAGACAGGCTTGCTAGCTGCCACAGCTGCTGCTCTACCCTTTGCTCTTTGCTGTTTGCTGCCTCCATGAACTGCTGCCCTCTGCCATGTGCCACGGTGCCTTGGTGCGAGTATGGACTGAAACCTCCACTAACTGTGACCTAAATAAACCTTTCCTTCCTTAACTTGGGGTGTTGGGTATTTTGTCCCAGCAATGAGAGAAAAGTAACCGAGACAGGGATTGTGTTTAATAAAATAGTCTCTGAAATGCTCCCAAAAGTTGTTTGGCTACTGTGGTTAAGGTAATGGTTTTTCCTCTGCATTAGGATTCAGCCAAATGCCTCTTATGAAAGAGTGTTTAGTATTTTCCCAGTTGCATTTGGGTCTTGGATGATTTTGTGACATTTGTGATTTTAAGCCTGCTATTAAACATAGGAATTTTAAATTAATAACCTTTTAAAATAGGACTTTAGGGGCTGGGGAGATGGCTTCGTAGAATAAGCGTTTGCCTGGCAAGCACAAGGGCCTGAGTTCAATCCCTGGTTCCACCCCCAAAAATAGGACTTTAGTTATTATCTGCTATATGAGCTCTGTGATCCTTTTTTTGGAGGAGTTCTAAGTGTTCTATAGGATTGTTTTTGAACCTTCGTCATCTATAACATAGAATATGGTTATAGTGCCATTGTGGGTGGTCATGGTAAAATGGGAACAGGACATATCTCATGTGGCTAGCAAATCCTCGACACCACAGTTGTATTGGGGGTAAATGACGTAGAATGTAGTTGGTCATCACTGGAGCTCTCACTTTGTATATTTTGATGGACACTATAAAGTCATTCATTTTTCTGTTAAAAAGGGTTTTGCTTTAAAGAGTAAAGACAACAACATAAATATGACATGAGTTTGTTAGTATAAATTGCTTAAAAACCATGTAACTCATCACCGTACTTTCTAAATAATCATTTTATCTCATATTTGTTGATATTTTCTGACAGTACCTTTTTATTCATTTTGTTTGCTAGCATTTGCCTCACCTATTGTCTGGTTTGTGTTGTAGTTACTTATTTTCCTAGCAGTCTCTGTACTTTGGAAATAGTATTGTCTCTTATGAATCTTCATAAGATAATTTATATTTACTGATTTTACCACACATTTCAGTGAGTATGACTAAAGTGTGTGCATCATGCTGTGTTTTCTTTTTAGTGGGTCAACAACCTAGAAGTTGATAGCAGATACAACTCATGGCCTTCCAGCCTACAGGAGCTGCTTCGCCCCACCTTCCCTGGTGTCATCAGGCAGATCAGAAAGAACTTGCACAACATGGTGAGTGAGCACGTCTGTGCCCACCCAGGAACCTGGCTCCCCCAGTCTCTGTCGTGTGTGCAGTGTTCAGTTCACCTCTTTATTAGCTGTTTCCCCTGCAGATTCCCACCCACAAAATGCTCCCTGTTGGCCCATGGCATCTGCAAAAGTGAAAATACAGAAAGGCAGTAAGGCAGTCTTCATTTTCCAAGGTGGCTGAGTTAATAAAACTTTTGTTGTTTGGTACAGTAGAAGAGTGGGTGTCAGGAATCTGGAATGTTCTTTCCATGTTACCAGCCTACGTCCATGGGAAAAATTATACCTTCTACTAACACATTCTTTGAACAGAGAGAGAGATAGCTGTTTGTGGAATTCCTCTTTTATGTGTTTCAAGATAGAAAAGGCTGGCTTCGTGAATAGTGAGTGCTTAATGGAGATTTCTGCTGGCCTAGGGACATTTTAGTCAGTGTCATTTCATGGATTCATTGTCTTTCTCCCATAGGTGTTCATAGTTGATCCTGCACATGAGAACACAGCAGAGTTGATTAACACAGCTGAGATGTTCCTCAGTAATCATATACCTCTAAGGTAACGCTGGTATTGATTTGATGATATAGCTAATTTAGCTGAGGTTTTGTTTGTTATTCTAAAGTACAAGTCTGGTGTACTCAATTGCAGTATAATTAATAGTGGGGACCATTAATGGTAGTTTTATTTTCCGTTTGGTATGAAGCCAGTGTCCTTTGAGACTGGGAGTTTATTCTCAATGAATAGAGGCTTACCACCATTGAATTATTAATAAATAACTGTGTAAAAGTAGTTTGTGGTCTCAGCTTCTCAGAGGAGGAGAATTTTCTTAGATAAATATTCACGTCCCAAAGCCTGTTTCCACTTTTAGCAGTGATACATAGCTTTGTCAATAGCTGTTGTTAGACTGTCAAGGACTAGATTTATATGGTTTACATTTATTTTAGTTCTCTTGGCAAATATACTGAGGACATTAATTCATTGGGTTTCTACTGTTCTTTAAATAACAGTTTTCCTAAGGTATTACATGTAAGTATTAAGTTATTTTCGTTTACATTCTCAAGTGATTCTGATTTTACATTGATGAATTTAGAATTTTTAGAAATTAGAAAAAAATGTTTATCCAACAAATATTTCTGTGTTCCATGTCTAATAATGAGCTAACAGCGATGGATACTAGATAGCTATAGTCTTACCTTGTAGGAAGGAGTCTTCTGCATACTTTTAACACTTTTAAAAAGGTGTTTCACTAGGAAACTGAGGCAGGAGGGTCAAAAGATAGAGCCTAGCTGATCCACTTTACGACTTAGCTAGACTGTGTCTCAAAATAAATAAATTAATTTAAAAAAGGGTTAGAGATACAGCTCAGTGCAAATGCCCTACATTCAGTCTCTAATGGAGGAAAAAAAATGTTTGATCAAGTATTGTTTATGTTCAACCAACCAAAAGTGCTTTAGAATCAGGGAGATAAACTATAAGCTGAGAGGGCTGGGCATGGCAGTGCACGGTTGTTATCCAAGCGCTCCATTCTAGAGGACTATGCAAATTAGATGAAATCATGAGGAAACAGATAATAAGGACTGTGCTGCTAATGAGGTTGTAGCAGGAATGAAACAATACTTCAGCGTGATACTGGGCGCTCAGCTCCTCTACACATCTGAGAGACCAGAGTACGCTGAGATCCGTGCTAATTACCCTGATGCCCCCACGTCCCAGGTGCATGCAGCACCACATCTACTGAGATTATTTGTACGAAGTGCAGCAGTGTTGGCCTATACACCTCTGGATGAGAACAGCCTTGCTTGATTACTGAATTACCTTCATGATTTCCTCAAGTATCTGGCGAAGAATTCAGCAACTTTGTTTAGTGCCAGTGATTAGGAAGCGGCCCCTCCTGTGTACCATCCAAAAGCATTGTGATGCCCACTCACCCGTTTGGATCTCTGTCCACATGTTTTTGTTCTTTCCCTTGTACAAATGATGTACTTTGAAGATGTTAGTGTATAACAGAGTTGATGTTTGTTTTGTTTGATTTTAAACGGAAAAATAAAAGAGGTTACAGCTCCTTTTTCTTTTTCTTTTTTCCCCCATTTCAAAGTTGCTACCAGTGTATTCAGTGATGGACAACAGAGAGACACAGTGGAGTATTTTATTGTCTAGTTGACAAAGCTGCTTTTGAATGCTGGTGGTTCTATTCCTTTGACACTACGCACTTTTATAATATGTGTTAATGTTACATGACAAAATGCTCTGATTCCTAGTGCCAGAGGTCCATTTCAGTGTATATAACTGAACACACACATCCATTTGTGCTCTTTTTTTTTTTTTTTTAATGGTGCTTAAAGAGCCCTTGCTGGGCTGGTGAGATGGCTCAGTGGTCTAAAGCACCTACTTAGAACAAGCTTAGCAAAGCACAGGGACCGCGGTTCAA